AACTAATAGTCATGGAAATAAAAATGCTAGAAAGTTAATTTTCGTGTTCGGTTACATGTGTGAGCCACTGTATATACTGTATCTAATTTTTTTAATAGTTATGGGGAATCGTGAAATCTGAAACGGACCAATGAGATTAATAGGGTACTGATTTCAGCTTCAATCACAATAATTATTTCTAAATTTATATCATTTTAAAGCTAATTGATTGTATTTTTGAAAATAATACAAGATTTATGGCAATTTAAAATATAAGAACTGTTTTAATTATATAAAGCCATACAAACAAAATTTTTTGGTTTTCATAACACATGACTATGTAAATGATCCGGCTTTTTATTTTTAAAGCCAAAAAATTTTATTTGGCCTAAAGTAAAAAAACTAGAAAATAGAAAATTTTAAGCTATATATATATTTCTTTTAGTAATTATTTCTAAATTTTATATCATTTTAAAGCTAATCAATTATATTTTGAAAATGATACAAGACTTGTGGCAATTTTAAATGAAAGAGCTGTTTTAATTATCAAAAAAATTTATATAGTGGGGACAGCATAAGATATTCACTTTAGATGGCATCATATCAAGTGTTATAACTTAAAAGATAATAATAGCTTTTTGATTAAGCTATGATTTGGTTAAATTATTTTCTTGAGATATAAAAATAAAGAGTTCTGATTGGTCAGATTGATTATTATATATTGGATATATCGGGCGTCATTTCTGGGAGGGGGACTGTATTCAAATTGTACACAATTCATTGTCAGAATGCGAACTTTAATTTTAAATCTGCAGTGTAGCATAAACTTGTGTTTCTATGACTCCGCAGAAAGTTTTAATGCAGTTGTTCTTTGACGCATCAACGATTTGTAAAATCAAGTTGATCTACACATAACGATAAGTCAATAACGAAACATGAAGTTAGATTGAAATGCGTTTTCTTCATACACCATACAGTAAAAGGAACATGCATTATTGAAATGTATTCCCAAACACAGAGTATTTATATCGAAAACTTGCTATATTGAAGAAAACTTTAATAAGCTAAAAATATTTATAAATGTGCGTCATCTATTTGATAAAATCCAAATTTTGTTTTTTAATTTGTTTTAAGAGAAGGGAAGGTTAGTTTCTCTCCTCAAAAGAGAAAGATATTTGTCGCGTACATCTAGTTATAGAAATTTATATGAAAAACCGCGAGAAAAACAAGTAGGATTCATCAATTTTTTTACTAATAATTATAGGGAAAAAATAATAAACAATTTTCTCTTACTCAACTCAATGTAATGTTATCTATACTAGAAAATCCAAATGTTGTTTCAGAGAAGGGGATTCGTTTCTTAATACGCTTAGCAATAGAAGATTCTATAAAAAACCGCGTGAGAATATAAAACATGGAAGAACAAGTAGGTAAAGAAATCCCAAAATAAAGAAGAGAGTTGAATAAGAGAAAATTGGTCATTATTTTTTCCATATGATTATTAGTAAAAAAAATAACGTTATCATATTGTAAAATGTGAAAAAATAGCTTCATTGCATAGGGTCAAAACTCATTAGAAAGAACATGTGATGTAATGAAAATTCATTTAACGAAACAAAAGATGTATTAACTATATCGAAAAACTCGCCATGTTGAAAAAACATTCAAATATTTTTGAAATTAATTTTTGTATTGTATATAACAACATACAAATTTATTAGCATTACATTTTTTTATTATGTCAATAGATTCGTCGCAATTCACTTCTTAACGTTAAGAAAAAAGGTTATCATATAAAATGTTTGAGATGCAATGTGTTAAATGCTTCTGAGAAAATTTCAAAATAATGTAATAAGAGAGATTGGTATTCAAGGAAATGAAAATGATAAATGATAATAAATTTTTACAATATTAGACGACTGTAGTGATTCAATAAATTTTATCATAAAAAGCATAAAAAAAATTAAAGAGAAAGTATTCAATTAGCCCATGCTTATAGCTGCGATGAGGTTGGCAGAACCTTTTGCCGGTTCCTCTATTTCCTCTTCCGCTATCTCATCTCTAGGGTCAACTTTTGGATTCAAAGCAAATGAGCCCTTTGGTATAAAAGTGCATGAGAATATAATGACTGAGCCAATTGTTGCCATAACGCCCGCAACATAAATAAATGCTTCACGGGTATTCCCTCGCGCTTTATATGCATCAAAAACTCTTCCCATCGGAATGGAGAGAGCAGCGTAAATGACGATGTACGAACAGTAAAGAAAAGCCATGACACACCCTAGCGGTGAAGTACCCTGATCATCTTTACCATGCGATGAATGCAATCGAGATTGAATATAGGCCGCGAGGGAGACGTCACCAGCTGCCCAACCCGCGGAAAGTACCATTAAAATCGGAAATGCGGTCCAAACCCATGCGATGGCGCTCGTAACAGGCAAGTAAGGATATATCCAGAGTGTCAGCAAGGCGAAGGCATCATAGCGAACCCATGGAATCGGAGTGTGAATTTTTGTGGCTAACACGAGGACGGCAAGTGCACCACAGAGTTCTCCGAAGTTAGATCCTGCTAGGAGAATGCCATTATAGGAACCTTCGTTGAGAATCTGCTTTGCGAACGTTGGAGAGAGGACTCCCTCAACGAACCTGTGAAAGACCAAAGCTACAACATAACCGGGCACAAGCCAGATAAAACGACGTTCCGAAAAAATGATATATGCGCCACGTTTTACGGAGTAGAAATATAAGGCGAAGAGGCTCTTTTTCTTTCCACTGTAAGCCGGGGTACCATCCGGATTTGACTTTTTGAGATCAGAATTGTTGGGATTGAGCTTAATCATAAACCAGATACCTGCAGCTAAAGTGAACAATATGGGCATCAGAAGTAGAGCTTTGATATAACCTAGTGTCTTAACGGTGGCGGTGGAGGTGAATGCACCAGCAGTTCCAGCAATCTCGTAAAAAATGTGAACGTTGGCATCCATTCTTCTTAGTTTAATGGGATTTTCACCAACAATATCACGTGGTATAATACGACGGATGAGCTCTATAATTCCAAGACAGCCGCCCATGGGAAGGTATAGGACGAAGATCCACAGAGGGTTCCAGTGTCCCGAAGTGGCTTCATCAACGATGATGAGGAGCGCAGCAAAGACTCCGAAAGTGAATATGCTGGCGGCTAATAAGACGTTTGTTCGAAAGTGTACCACAAGTTGTGCACCGGCGATAGCGCAAACGCATTGTACGATAGTAACTGAAATGATAAAAAAGATGTAATTAATTTCTGTACGATACGAGACGTAGCGATATCAACAATATTATCTTACAAGCTGATGTCAAGACAGGAGTCATGGTGAGAGCAACGTTTTTTGCATATCGATCCTGTGCAAAGAGAGAGATGCTCGTACTAATTAGACGAAACCAAGTTGGGAGATTAGTGAGTTATTGTCGTACCAAATACAAACAACGGGAAATATCAGTGTTGGCCTATGACCAGCGTTGTCACTTTACTATGTCCAGTAACCAGAAGTTACTGGACTGGACCATATTGGACTTATAAAATTACTGTCCAGTGATCCAGTGGCGCAGTATTGGACTAAGTCCAGTACGGTCCACACTGCCTATGACCTTTTATGACCATATGACTTGTCACAAGTCATATGGTCATTCTAGACAAGATTATGATTTGATGAACTGGTCATAACAAAACATGCGACATAAATCAGATTAAAGCAAAATATATAAAATTTCAAAAGTCACGCTTTTTTATGACCTATGATCTTTGATCATGTATATATGTCCATTCGCCAACACAGAGAAATATCACTTACCCAAGAGTTTCATATGCAAACTTAAAGCACATAATGCCAAGAATGTAGAGAATAATATTACGCTTTTCCGTAGGAGAGAAGGAAAGATCCTCGTTGGTTCCTTTTTCGGTGTCGGTGATAACCGCTTCAGAGTGTTTTTTTTCACTCAAATTGTTCATGTCTTTTTCACTTTTTTCTGTTGGATTGCTCATAGTGATAGAAAAAAGTGAGTTGAAAGGATGAAGGAAGAAATTCGAGTTGATGCCACATTTTATTTCAAAAACTTTACACAAATTCGTGACATAATTATTTCAAAAAATTTACAATGAGCTCTTTGGCGCTTTCAATATTTTGCCAATCGATGAACAGCTCTGAACCAGGTGTACTGGGTATGTATAAGGTTATTATCCTAGAACATATCTGGTACTGTATATTGAATTGTGCTAACGCTAAATTAAATATTTACCTAAATAGTAATGTTTTTTCTAGAAAAAGTTTTGATTACACAAAAAAGTTTGATTACACAAAAAAAAAGTTTGATTACACAAAAAAGTTTGATTACACAAAAAAGTTTGATTACACAAAAAGTTTGATTACGGTTTTCTAGAAAAGTTACATTTCATATCAATTACACAAAAAAGTTTCTAGAAAAATTGAGATTGTTGCCAATCGACGAGCAGTTTTTCACCACATGCAATCAAGAGAGACTTAGCATCTCTTCACCACATCAAGAGAGACTCGACATTAATATATTTTTCAGAGAGGCATTCGCCTATACAACTTATAACGTTGGTTTGGATGACATTTGTATGTTCTTCCCAATGCAATCGAACTGCTTAGTTCGTATAGTTGACCGGTCCCTTAATCTAACGACTCGAAAATAAATAATGTTTTCGCCCACATTTCGGGCTTTAATTTCTAAACACGTATTTTTACTCTGTATTATAATGTTACAGAGATTGTGATAGCATAAAAGTAATTACACCATTAGATTGAAATCTTTACAATGCAGAATTTGTCATTCTTGTTTTTTTTCACAAGTTCATATTACAATATATGCATGTTGCTTTATTATGTTCGGATATTTATATGCTCCAATACTGAATCTTCAGAACGTCCACGTTTTTTTGTTATACTACTTGAGTTTAGAGCTTGTTTGCAGAATTGTATAATATATTTAATATAAATTATATTGTTATATCATCTACAGTCAAAGTTCTCTATACTGAAGTCCAATCTTCGGTGCATAAAAAAAATATTCGTAACATGTATCTGTACCACGAGATTTCTTCGTTATACCAAAATATCCGCTATGATTGAATGGGAATGGTATAATAACGATTAGTATTGTATTGAAGATTTCTTGCCTAAATTATTTAAAATGCCAAAATGCTACATGCAGGTTTTTATGCTTGTGTAATTCTCACTCATCGTCATGATATCGCATGATGACACGTCGGAATCAGATTAGTAATGTGTTAGCGGCATTATTAGTGACATCTTTTGGATTTCTGTAAATGTAATCAATGATAATAAAATTAGTTTCGTTATTAAAACATTTGAAGAATATTACATGTTTGCAACCCCATATTTTTATTTTATTCATGTTAGTTGAGTGGTACACTAACTAAGAAGGCCAGAATACCTTTCATTGGTGAAGTTAGCGGCCTCGAGATAGTTAATGGATTATACAAACAACAACAACTCATTACGCAAAAGACATGTGCTTGTCTTATCGCGCTAGTCCCCGGGTTACTCCGTTGTTCAATTATAAAGAATCCACAGGCTAGAGTTTGAACAACACGTTATTAATTGTCCCTCGAAGAATTTTGCTATAAAAGTAAGGTAACTTCTGGCGTGGCGCTTCTACCGAGAGTTTTCTGCAAATACATTTTTTTTGCTACCAATCATGATTATTAAATGGATGAATGAGCAAACACGTCTTCTGGTCGACAAGCGTACAAAGATCAGTAGCTTGTTTATTGGAAAGATATTACAGTTATGTCTTTGGTACATCAAAAAAGTTGTAAAAGCTGGATTGGTAATCAACAAAAAACAAAAAATCACAGAAAATTAATTATAACGGAGAATGTTGACCCTTGCTGGAAAAGATGATCCATAGGTTTATTTTCATTTCATAAACACAACGAAAGAGGATGTTATATTTCTAAATGGACAAAAAAATATCAATTGAGGATGGAATGTTCAACAAATTTTACTGTAGCTGAAAGAATGAATTTAGATTTAAAGGAAGAAGAACCATGTCATGAATATTTAAAGATCACACTCACAATACTCTTTGACTTCAATAGTTTCTTTTTTCTTTGAATATTTGCATGATGTCAGATTTGTGTGGATCTCTCACACACTCAAAAATCAGGTGATTTCTGTCAGATCTCATCCAGTTCCTCCAATCGATTTGCGTTAATGTTTCTTAGTTGATGCGCCAATATATGGCTGGATAGGAGAAGCAAGGCAAGAAAGCGATACTTTGGGCAAGATCTGACAAGTATTCTTTTTCGCAGTATCGTTTATCAATTTTACCAGTTAGAAACTCGATTTGATCAGGTGCATTGATACGAATGTCTAGAGCCTTCAACGACAAAGAACCGTTCGCCACCCCTTCCCCTCTTATGAGAAAGTTAGTTCTATGCTAAACCGGCAAGCATCTTTTGCTTGACAAAGGAGTCGTGAATGAGGATGCCGATGGGGGAAACTGGTAATGAAGGTAATCCCACTTCCATCTTATGATGAAGCTACAAATGAGGTCATTGTTACCAGAGCAACGTTAATGGAGGTAATGAAATCAATAAGTGATAACCAGTCCGATTTCATTTGTATATAATGCATTATATGTATCATTTATTTTTGAGTGCAGAGGTATTCGCCTTTCACCCAGTAAATACATCGAATGGCAAATTCGGGGAGAGGAAGACGATTAGTGATATTATCATTTCTTCGATCCAATTCCATGCATTCATTCCAAATTTCGTAATAAAATCTCAACCATGATATTCATTCACTTTCACCATCCTCACATCATTTTCATCAGACACATCATCGGTGTGGATAAGCTCAGGCTCATGTGCAAGTTCTCCATGACAATTGTCAAGTAGATACTTAATATTGCGTCTGAACAAATGCTCCCGATCGATTTTTTCTTTGGACGATTGAAAAATCGCGCACTTTCACGAGATGTCAATCATTCACTGCCACATGACTCGAGCTAATATTATCTTTTTCCTTATAAAGAAATCGATTGACTTATCGGGCATTTTTGTGTTTGTATGTATATAGTTTTCTAGAAAATAAAAAATGGTTTCATCTGTGATTTTTTTTAATTGAAGTTTTACACATGATTGAGCAAGCACACATTTGCCATATTACTATTCCAATAACAAGATCATCTATTGTAGATTTGAACACGATTGTACTATTTTACATATTGATGTTATTATTCCAAGAAAAATCCAGAATACGATTGTACTATTTTTACTTATGGAAACATTGGTATTCCTAAACTGTCCTTGTATTCCCAATTCTGCAAAATGCGACACATCTAAACCTTTACCCGTATTTATATGAACAATATTGGATCACAACATGCATCAGTAGTTGATTTTTCCCATTGTCTATGTGTGTCTTTCTTTTGGTTCCACAGATATAATGTGGATGATGAGAAACTTTTTAAAAATGTTAATTATTGTGGGGGGGGGGGGATGATCGTGAAATTTGAAATGGACCAATGAGATTAGAGAATAGAAATTAATAAGCCAATAGGGGCACTGATTTCAGCTTCAGCCGCCACAAATTAGAAATACGTAGGAAAAGTTCAGATTGTTGAGTTAATAGGTCTTAAAAGATTTGGCCAATTGTGGTAACTAAGTGTATTTCGAAAATTTTGTTAAAAACGGCAACAATACTTAGATAAAAATTTTCCGAGTGAGATTTTTGTTCGGCCAGATATAATTTTCTTTCAAGATGACCGCAAAACAACAGGATACTAACTCGCCTCAGACAATTGATTTCAGAAAAGAAAACCCCTAGTACGGTTAAGACTTGCGCAAAGGAATGCATTTTGCATTTTTAAGGCTGCCTCATTAGATATAAATAATTTCAACTGGATCAAATGTTGTGATTATAGTTTTTACTATAGTAATATGAGATCTATTTTAATGTTAATGACTCTTGAGATTGTATTATAGTAAATTTAATTATTATCTAACGAATAATTAATTTAATTAACTTGGAAAAGCGACATTTGATAAAATGCGTCAAAAATCCAATCAAGCACATGTATTAAATACTAAGAAATCCGATATATATTTATATTGCTGTCTAATCTATTCGTTTTACTTTTAATTTTCATTTTTTGCACGCGTATATAAAGAGAGCTGCCTCAAGACCATAATAAAAGTCTAAGCTCCAACAAATTTCTTTTCAAGCACACATACTCTACTGTTTTGATATTCGTAATACCGCCTACTCATACATACGGTGTTACTCAAACCACCCTAGTTCCTATACTAGTTTTATTGCCATTATAGGAAAATTAAGCGATATACACGATTTTTTTAATTTTGACTCTAAATATACAGTCCGTACGGAAGAAAGTAATGGCGGAAAAATTTTTACCATATAATTGGCCTCCTTCTAAAAAAGTCCACTGGAACTCTACGGTTCAGTCCAGTGGAACAGACCTACTGGACTTGGCAAAACTGAAACTGGACATAGTCCAGTGCCCGAATTGTATATATAACAGTAATACATCACATATACCGATTTCTTATCAAGAAAAAAATCGTTACTAGTAATCGTTATAGTTTTTTTGACATGTCAAATGGCATTCAAGCCTGCGTTGACATGGCAGGAGAATGTATTATGTGTTGATTTTTAAGAGCATGATGACCTACTAAAGGCATTGTTTTTGTGTAGTTGTTCTTTTAAAAACTGCTCATTTCTTTAAACTTTCCGTGGTGACTATTTTTTATTTTCAAGGCAAATCCCGAACAAATCCTATTAATAAAAATGTTCCCTACGAAAACCACCTATTTACCAATTTTTTGGAGTGTTAGCTATTGAAATTTCAATTAGTAAATTAATTTTTACATAGACATAGAAATTCGGAAGCTTATATCTCAATCGCCAACACCCCGATTTAGCTGATGTTTTGTACATAGCTAGTTTTCATTAGTGTTTCGGGCAAAATTAGTTTCGTCAAATTTGATCTACAAAGTGCTTCCAAATTAGGGTTTCGGATGGTTTCGGATTTGTAGAGCGAAACGTTTCGGATTTTGAAAAATAGTTTCGCCCGAAACATTAGTTTTCATGGAGGCAAACATTTTTTATTAATGGAATTTTTGGGGATTTGCCTTGAAAATAACGCTAGAATTTTTTTCTTGGTGCAATACTTTCGAGTGCCACTGTATTTGAACAGAATGAGATTCACTGCGATCTTTACGATCGTTTCTGTATCAACATCGGATGATACAGTTCTGGCGGAAAGTAATGACGGCCAGTATATTTCATTCAATTATATAATAAAATTTAAAAAAATTTATTTTGATAACGTCTTTGAGTAGGGCATTATGCCCTGTGTCAATGCAAGTTTGGTCTAAAAATTGAACGTTTTTTAACTAAAAAAAATCTAACAATCACAATAATTCGATAAATATTATTCTGAAATTCTGATCACTGGAATAAGTTTGAAAATTCTACAAATCAGCAATCGGGAAAATGACTTGCCATGATGCGCTCCTATTAGATTTTTGCAAATTCATCACAGTTTTAATTGTTATTATCTTGCTAGAAAACTAGCACTTTGTTTGTATATTTTGCTTCTATATGAAATGCTAGTATTATAGTAAAATTTACATAATATTCATCACATTTTTAATTGTTATTACCTTGCTAGAAATCTAGCACTTATTTATATATTTTGCTTCTATATAAAATGCTAGTATTATAGTAAAATTTACATAATAATCACCGCAATCACTTTCCGCCGGAACTGTATTATATTGATGAACGTCTTATATTACTGTGGTTGTATTGCGAGAATATAAACTTTGTGAGTATGGTAGCTAATACTGCACATAATATAACCATTCGGAATTGCCTTATCCCCTAGATTTCTAACCTTACCCTGACTGTCCTTGACAAAACTTAAGAATTCAATCCAACGTTCAGGTGAGAAAGATCTCAATTCAGAGATTCTCTTTAAATTATATCTAGCTCGTTTGTTCATTTGCTTGTTCGTTTAGTTATTTATTTATTTGCTCGTTCGCTTGTTCGCTTGCTTGTTCACTTGCTTCACATGATTTGATCTTTATCCAATAAGATATGAAATATATATAATTTAATAATATGAAATATTATAATGAAAGGTCATTATATAACAATATATTATAATAATAAAATTTTTATAATATTATAATAATTAAAACTCTTATAAGTATTATTTAAAATTTTAAATATATAAAAACAAAAAAATTTGAAACTTTACAAATCTAAAATAAATAAATAATTAGATATAATACTGAATATTAATCACGTAATAAAAAATAAGGATCTTTAAAATACTATTCTATTTTAGATAATTTTGAAAAAATAAACTAATAATTTTAAAGAGTATATTTTGAATTACAAAGTTATTAGTTTATTTTTTAGAAATTATTTCTATATAAAGTAGAGTAATATTTCAAAGATTTTTATTTTATTATATGATTGGTAGTTATATATTTATGTTATCATATAATTTCTAAATTATTTAATTAAATAATATATTTTTTTAAATAAAAATTAATTATGTCAATTACTAATTAATTATATAAAGATATAATTAAATAATATAACTTTATTATATAAGTATACTTATAAAAAATATTTTAATATAATAAAACTAGAAATTTATTATATATATAAAATATAAAAAATATATATAACAATATAATTCAAGCTGAAAACTAAATAAAAAATATATTTAGAAAATATATATACTTATAAAACATATATTTAGAGAGAGTTTTTTATATATTAAAACTCTTTAATAATACTAAAATTTTTTTATTGTACCATTTCAATATTACTATATTATTTTAGTATTATTATATTATTTTGATATATTATATTATTTAATATTTCTATTTTATTTTAATAATAATAAAGTTTTTAATAATAAAGTTTTAGTTTTTAGCATTTGATATAGCATAAACTAATATTCCTAAATGATATTTTAAATTATAACTAGTTATTCAATTTTCATTAAACAAAAAAGTTGTTCTAGTCAAAATATTCTTTTTGTTATAGTTATAATTTGGCTAAATAGTTTTTTTGCTTATACTGTTTTGCATTATAAAATAATTTCAGCAAGTATCCTTATTTGTACTTCAAAATTAAAATACCTATAAATAAGTTTTAATATTGTAATATTTAAAAACGAATCATGTATTTTTGATTATATAGAACATCAATATGATATGGACAACTGGATGTGCATGATATGATGATCAAATGTCATAATATGGATATAATGATAACACATACAGTCAGAGCTGGTTACAGTAACATGATCGGGGGAAAGATTTTGGTGATGTTATTATATCCAAATATTCTTTATCCAATAATAATTAATATAAAAAAATTTTTTGTACCAAGCAAATCATGTTACTATAATCAGCATGTTATTATAAAGAATGTTACTGTAACCAGCTCTGACTGTACTATTAGTAATATTATAGCATAACGATAAACTATACTATACTGTCTTGATTTTTGTGCTGTATTATGCTACATAAATCTTTTAAAATAACCTATATTCCGAACCCTAACCCATATTCTAACCCTTTTCAAATACAGTACATGTAGTTTTTCTCTATACCATCCATATACAGTTTTATCATATCGATATACATTTTATACATGTGAGGCATACCATACTGATATTCGCATTACCCTGTATTTTTACATGAGGAAATCCAGCCGATCAGGAATAATTCATGTAATATAGCTGGTGCTGAAAATCGAGTTCTATTCAACGTGATTTTTGAAAAATTCAAAATTAATATTTTAATATACAAAAAAATATACCATATTATAGATCTTATCAAAGATTATTTTGATAATATATTTTTTTTGTGATTAAATATTTATATGCAAAGTATTGGATGGCTTTAGACTTTCTGCACCATATCGATATGAGTCTATCGTTAACGCGCACATCTGGAATGTGTGCCAGGTTCGTGCCGCAGCAATAAAATTACCCAAAAGTTGATATATAGTTAGGTTAGGGTTAGGGTTAGAATGGAGATCAAGGTTATATGTAAAATTCCTCACCGACATTTTTTATTAGTACTCCAAGATTTGAATATCCATTTCCCGTATTTTTCGCATTTTTCATTTTTTTGCGTCAGATTGTTTTGCTGGCTGATCAAAAATTCGCACATCCTTATTGGTCTGTGCCACCAGTAAATCGCATTCTTATTGGACTGAACTGGAATTATACAGTGGCTCACACATGTAACAGAACACGAAAATTAACTTTCTATATATATAGCATTTTTATTTTCATGACTACGTATTAGTTTGGACAAAATAAAGTGTTCATTTGAAACCCTGAAACCTCTAATAATTTTTAAAAATAATTTAATAACAGAATATTTTGTGAAATAGAGTGATTTAAATCAAAATTTACAATTAGTAAATTTCTCACATCGAAGAACTTTTTTTCTATGACGGATCCAAATTTGAACCACTAATTAAAAATGTACTACTCTATAAAATCTACTTATTACCAATTTTCATAAAAATCAGCCTAATTTATATAGATATTTAAGATCCCAAAGTCTGAATCTATGCTAGGCGCATTAATACATGAATCAATGCTCCTGTCATAGATTCGGTCCTTCAGAGTCTTAAATCTCGGTGAATTTGGGGCCAATTTTTATGAAAACTGGTCAATAGGTAGATTTCATAGAGTAGTACATTTTTAATTAGTGGTTCAAATTTGGATTCGTCATAGAAAAAAAGTTCTTCAATGTGAGAAATTTACTAATTGTAAATTTTGATTTAAACCACTCTATTTCATAAAATAATCTGTTGTCAAATTATTTTTAAAAATATTAGAGGTTTCAGGGTTTCAAATGAACACTTTTTTTATTTTGTCCAAACTAATAGTCATGGAAATAAAAATGCTAGAAAGTTAATTTTCGTGTTCGATTATATGTGTGAGCCACTGTATTAAATTGGTTGATCAATTTTTTGTTAATGTCAATTGGTTACTTTAGGATCCAGTGATCCGATTTGAACCATTAGACTCGTCTAGTCGAGACAAATCGAATAGTAGTACAGTTAAAGTTCGATAAACCGAAGGTCTCGGGTTATTCAAGAATAAGCTTCGCTTAACGTGGGTTTCCAGGAGCCAAGCAGTAAGGGCAATGGTGTCGGAGTTTCTTTTCCCTGGTTTTAATTCTTTTTTACATAACTTTTAACTTTTTCCTGTTTAATTGGAGGCAGTTCTTTTCACGTTATAAAGTACTATTTATATTATTTTTCGTTATATCAAGCTCTTTGTTAATAGGTTCGTCCCTGAAAATTCTTCGTTTTAACGCGAGCTCGCTTTATCGAGGGTTCGCTTTATCGAACTTAACTGTATGTTTGTTCAAATCGGATCACTGGATGTCAAGAATTAGATTCTTGGATATTGAGATGTATGTTATGAAATGACTGATTGTATTTGGACATGAAAGTTTATGGACATACAATATCCGATATAGAAGCTCTACCAGTCTATAAATGTACAAACAATCGGGTCAGGTGTCGTATTACATTTAACACCCAGGTAATTTGGGTGTTCGTTATACGTGTACGTAGTATAATTTTGGGCAATGCTGGGCGTTCGGATACTTATGGTCGCTACTGTAACATGGCCAAATATTGAGTCACACGCACCCATGTTTAATTACACACTGTATAATCACTTCTCTCTACAATTGCACAGTGCAAGTCGATATAACGAACTCTTATTAGAAAATTGAAACCTTAATTTTTTTAAAAAAATAAATTAAGACACAACAGATACAAGTTATGTTTTGAAGATAAATCTTGTATAAGTGTTGTTAAATAGGCTAGGTAAAGTCGAAATTGCCTTCAGTTAGATTTACGAAGAGCTTCTTTACGAATAAAAGTCAAATGATTTATATTATTATTATATTGTATGCATATGTGTTATAAATCTAAATGCTGATGAGTAAAGCTGTGACTTTATATTGATACTTTAAAAGAAGTGTGGATGAGTTTTGTTATAATATTATATTCAGTTTATTCTTAAATACAATTTTTTGCTTTGTTTCATTTAGAATTATTTTCAGCTTTTACTTTTTTCTTGGTTTTTAAGTAATACACATTGTGTGCATGTGCAATCAATTATCATTAAAGTAAAAAGAAAATTTTCCTGTTAATGATTTCCCGTCAGAACAACCTGAATTTTTTATTATGAAATTTTAGCGAATTCAAAATTTGCCTAATTAAACATCAACAAAGAAATCATTTATACTTTCATTTTGTGCATCTCACTCGTTCACTTTAATTTGGCTTAAATTAACTTTATATCGATATCGTTATTTTTTTAAAATTGATTGTGCAAAGAGATAAAAATAACATTCTTTGTAACTGTTATAAGAAAATTTATTGCTTGAAATTAAATGATAATGATTAGTTGTAATAGTATGCTGTGCATTTATTAGGAATCAATTATTTCTTTTTCAGACATATACAATGGCAATAAAAGTAATGCAACACGTAATTAATCACAATTGATGCATTAAACTGACCATATTTTTTTTAATTAAATATGTATAATATATATAAAATATATGACTGCTAACATATTTATTTAAAGCAAAGAAAAATACGGTCAGTTTAATGAGAGTTGACTGTGTTATAAATTCAACATGAATTATTAAGTTAATTATTTCACAATGCAACATTTATTCAACATTTGTTCTTTTTTTAACACAATTCACATAACAATAAATAACGTATACACACAAAAAGTAAATGGCCCTTCTTTACATACACAAAGAATGATAAATGGCTCTAATTTGCATTTATGTGTACATATACATGTACAAAGAAACAAACATCAAAATGCGCGTGTTACAAAAATTGTTACCGTATACCGATACCGATACAGAGATGATCGGTGTTTAACGCAACATCCATAAATACGTACGCAGATAATTTTTATGCATATCGATATACGAAAGTTCTGGATTAAATATCAACGCGTTAACAAAAATTGATTGCAGGACATTCTTTTTATTTGTTAAACTTGTTATCTAATCTTTGAAGTATATAAATATTTTTCATTTATTTTGATATTAGAGATAGCTTTTTTTAAAATTGATTTTCTTATTTTTAGATGGCAACAACAATGATAGGACTGTTAGATAGATTACAAAATCCTGTACCTCAATACGTCTTAGGTTGCCTACCAGCTTTAGCAACAATAGGAGCAGCACCTATGGAGGATTTTATACAAAAGCTGATGTGGTTAGCACAGTGCCTTGGTTGTCCATATCTGGGACTGTTTTACACTTGCAACGTAAAGATCAGCGAAACAGCAATATACTGGCTTCCAAAAAGATGTTTTGTCGGGATAGATGGAAAAGAAATCCCTTACAGGCCTTTCGGACATCGTGCTATGGTGGTTATTAAGTCTGGGAAGCATTCAAAACAATCCGGCGAAAATACATACCAATACACTGAAAAATTAAGTGCAAATGCATCTGCGCTAAAAAAATTGGAAGCATGCATAGCAAATGCATCTGTGCTGGAAAGGTTGTCCTCGTTGGTGTCAGCATACTACATCTTTGTCGGTATATTTTCAGGAATAAAAAGGGTAATTGGACCAGATAATTGTCAAGATTGGTCTTTTATAACATTAGCGTTATCCTGGACATTGCCTGCAATCTACAGGAGAACAGTTCATGGAAGACTAATAGTCAGGGATCCTAAGTTAAAGTTAGGAGACAGAAAAATAATTGTAAAGAGATTTGATGACGACGAATATAAAGAATATATACATATCCGCGTTATAATCACTGTTTTAGCATCAATAGCAGTTCCTTGGATATCAGTACTCCTGGCCTACTTAACACCACCAATAGGATATGGTTGTCGAAGCAAATATATTACAATATTTTGTATCATATGGTCGTTCAACAGTATAGTTGCATACATACATCAGTGGGTAGAAGGAAAAAATAAGACTCTTGATCGTATAATTCGCATTTGGCTTTCCATTTGTGGTATTATAGTAGCAATTCTTTTTTTAGTTCTAGCCTTTCTGAGCAATGATATATTATGGTGGGAGCGTTTGCTCGGAGCTACTTGTAAAACCTCGTGCACGGATTTACTGATGCGTGTACAAAGAATTAATTAACCCGAGGGATTTTCGCAATGTAATTTGTTAGTTTGACTGAATGATTTACGAAAAAGGGGTTTCCTTCTCGTTCTAAGGGTCTCCTGTGACAATTTGTGCGCAAATTGACTTTAATAATGGGAGCGTCTCAATTAGAATAAAAATAAAGGAATAATCTTATAAAGAAATTAATAGTGGATTAATAAACTCCTTTCTATTGCTATTCGACAATTATCACATGATCCTTAAAAATAACAGGGCTTATGATACGGTCTGTACAAGAAAAATTTGATATGTATACAAAAAAAAGATACTAGTTCAATAAAATCAACGGCTTATTTAAAGTTGAGGAGCATCATCCACTACTTGTTAACTCTCAAGATTTGAAGATGATCAGTGTAAGAGAATAAAGTGTATTTACTAGTCGTGTGCAGTAAGAACTTTTTTATTTCTTTTTGATCAAGCATATCCTCTTGTACATTCGAGAGTAATCTATATCTACAGTTCTTTTTAATTATTACGCTAGTCCAAATATTAGTATTTTTATATTAATCTCTTGAAACTTTCTAAAACTAATTAGACAATAATCGATTGACATTTTTTTTAATTATCTAGATAATCATTATTCTTCAGATCTAGGGTTGTTAATTGGAGCAGCATACTCCGGGTAACTTTCACTCCGCTCAGGAGTCATAATTACATAAACCAAACTACTCTATACTCCACATGAAGTGATTTGGAGTGATCTGGAGTAGACCGGAGTGAGAATGATGATCTATTTTAAAAAATAGCCAATGTAATAATTTGTGATTTGGGTAAATAAATTCATGATTATTGTTTCCTTAGCGTTAGTCTATAAATATGTATGTATTGACAAATCATATAATTCGTTAGCGAGTATTATACAATGAATTTAGTCAATTATGATTATATACAATACAGCTTTTGCAATTGATTAACAAATTTATCTATCAATGCGTGTGTTCTAGTTGATTTAAAGTCATACAATTTTTTTTATAACTTTATTACATTAAAATGTCTCATAAATGTAAAATATCTACTTTAAATGAACAAGGTTTATTAGATAATAAACCTACTGAGAATGTACTATAAAAAACATCAACAGAACATATTGTAAGATCTACAAGTAAAGATGAAAGCAATGATTCAGTTTCAATAACTTCACGTGAAACTTCTTGGAACTGGGAATTATTTTTCAAACAATTTAATGATAAAAATGAAGTTACAAGCTTCGTTTGCTCAATTTGCAAAGCTCATTACAAACCTTCAAATTCCTCAGACACACTCACCAAATATTTGTATAAAAAACACAATGACAAAATCAATAATTCACAAAATAAATATAAAAGCAAGCCATATTTAAAAACAGACAAACAATACCAATAACTTGCAAATACAATTGTAGATTTTATTGTTTATTGTCAACTTCTTTTTGTAATTATAAATAATCCTTAATTTGCTATTATGTTAAATATATTTGATAAATATTATCAAGTATCTTGCTGTCAAACTATAAAAAATAAAATAATGAATCACTATGATAATATGCATGATAAAATATTAAAAAAGCTTGAAAAAACTAAAAAGTATCAATTACATGAAAAGTATGTGTATTTGTAGTAAAAATATGTCAATTAACAAAGTTGCATAATTTATTAAGCACAATATGCAAACTTGAAAGTACTGCTGAAATCATATACATAATATTCTTGTTGCTAAAAATTGAAATCTTACTAGTATTTATTTACAAAAAAATAATTAAACAAAAATTATTAATATAATTTAATTACTCAAACCAATTTTTATTTCAACTGAAGTATTATCATCTTCTATATATCATACAATAAGTAATATAAAATTAATTATTATTAGTTTGCTTCAACATTTGGAATCTTTTGACTTAGAAGAATATATTATAACAAATTCAATTAATTTTAAATTAAAAGAATATTAAAACTATATAAAGATTTAAACTAATACTTTTGTGAATACTAATCAATGTAATAAGGTCATATTGTCATTACAAAAACTAATGATATTTTACAAAATGACACATCAATAAATCAAATACAACAATAATTCCTGTAAATTTATAATTATGAGACAACAAAAGATTTTTTTTGAATCACTTCTTATGGAGCATATTACTAAAGAGATACCTGTTGAAGATGAAATTACTCGATATATTGCAACACCGATTGACTCTGATTCAGATCTGTTAGATTGGTGGTACCATTTTAAGAGAGATTTTCCAGTTCTTGCAAATATAGTATCCTGTTATTTAAGTATACAAGGTTCAAGTGTACTCTCAGAACAGGCATTTTCTATGACAGCAAATACAATAACCAAAATTTCATGCTACTTAAAACCAGATACAGCAAATGCAGTAATGTGTTTGAAAAGTTGGATTCAGCAAGTACGTGACAAAAATATAAAAGAAATTGATATTGAAGCTTCTATTCTTTTAGAATCATGAATTATAAATTGGTTGTTTTTTATTTTTGAAATCATAAATTTTATTTTTTTTTGAATACGAGTATGAAACTTGTTTATTAATAAAAGTATTTTATATATAGTTTTTATTCAGTCAAATTCATTATATGACTTTTATAAGTACTCCGGAGTAGCTGGAGCAGTATTGGAGCAACAATGAAACCGGAGTGGCTTCAATTTGATTGACCCCTTGCTCCACTATAATATGAAACCAGTTCACTTCACTCCACGCCACTCACTCCATTAACAACCCTACTTCTGGAAATAAGCACCACTCCTAGTACAATCAAATCTAAAATCACCGTAATGACAATAATTACGAGGAAATGTTTAGGAATAAGCACCACCCCTTTTTGGAGTCCAAAAAAGGGTACTTATTCCCGGGCGAATACGATATATATTAAATTAAAAATTATTAACTTAGTATTTCAAAATATATGGCCAACAACTTTAAACTGAAGCATTAATCAAAACCTGAAATTGGTGCAGGAATATTTATATTTATAATAATGCTGTTTTAATAAACCGAATCCATTTACGCTAAATAAACGTCGATAAACTAAGTATTCTGCCCATTTTATTTTTCTGTATCGATTTGTCTATCATATATTATACGACGACGTTTCGGAATTTGGAGGTCCAAAATGATAAATGCAGTATTGTCAACTGCACCATACTGGAAATAGTTAGTGTATTAAACCATCCAAAATTTCTCAGCTGGTTGAGATGTAATTTTTTTGGAAGCTGAGCCGGCTCAACTAATTACACAGTGACTTACTTTAGTGTATCCCGTTATAGTGGAGAATAATTAAATTCGCGTTATAGAGGAGACTTATTAAGTTCACGTTATAGTGGATAATATTCAAAACTGCCTCTAATGAAATTCACTCGATATAGTAGATTTACTAATAATTTTTCAAAAACTCTCGATATAGTGGAGAATTTTTGCTAGAACATGTAGCTTTTTTGATACACTATAAAGAGATTCATTGCTTATATAAAATAAATTAATATATAATTTTTTTCATACTTTGATTTTTACATTGTTATAATACGGATCAGCAAACACACCAAACAATACAATAGCGTTTGTAAGAGAGTTAGGACTGTTTCAATTTCTTTTTTTCCAGCTGCCTTGCTGGTATTTACGAGACTTGCCAGGAACCAGTTGCTCCTTTATATCAAGAAACTTGTATTTTCATACTCTTTTTTAGAGATACTACCAACACCGTTTTCAAAGAAAAATCAATAATGAATGGCTAGATTAATTTTGATGGATAATAGTTTCGGCGGCTTGATGACTCAGCCGCAAAAAGCCGCGCAGGTTTGCAGATACAATTACGTCATTTTGATGTGGCTGAATTATTATGCAGGATTATTCTAACGCTGATGGATCTAGCGTTTAATTTCTTTGTGCCAGTAAGACAAAGCACGTGACGGTAAGCCCGAATGGATATTCCGGGTAACACAGCCATAAACTCGGCATTCAAATCCGGCACGCGAAAAAAATGAAATACGGTACGGTAGAGGAAAATCTATTAATTGAAAATATCGGGAAGATGATTTTACAATATAATTTCAGTCCTAACCGAGATTCAATGATACAAAGCACGTGATAAATACGTATTAAGGGCTCATGAGTCAGACTAATAGTATATGTAAAATCACCTTCACTACCTTTTTAATTAGTGCCCAGCTATTTTCGCTACCCGGAATATCTAGCTCGTTACTTTCGATTTCTTCACATTTCGGGATTTGGAATTGCGTAACCTGTCACACATTTCAAGAATTCAAAATGACGCACGTCAATTTAAGACATACGTTAATCCGGAATTGACGTGAATTCTGAAATGACGTATAAACACTGCACTGTTGCCAGTTATTTGTGGAAGAAACTTTGGATAAGAGATCTTCAGTGTTTACCCTTGAAACAACAAAAGATGAGTTCCGTAGCTATAGTTTGAAAGGAGGACCCCGCATCTTGCAAAGTTTATTGAGGCTTTTAAGAAGCAAAGAATGTGAGAAATGATTTGTTGTTGCTAAGGCTCTAGTAAACCAGACTATTTGTGGTTTATACAAACTTAATTATGAAATAAAAGTTCATTGTGAAAGAGAAAAGCTCATTGTGAAAGAGAAAGATTGTATTACCAAATAAAATTACATTGATGATCACCAAATAAAATCCAATAACAGTAATTAATGCAAACACACTGCCTCATAAATTACACTGCCCTTACACTGCCCTTATGAAATGATTTTTAAATTACATTCTATAAAAATATATTATCTATTAAAAAATATAAAAAGAGTGAATCTCATCCAGTTTTCGGGTTTAATATTAAATAACCAAAAAGATAATAAAAATGACTAAACATATAAACCTCTTTATTATTTTTACCTTGACCTTTGCTTTCGTTTTCACTTTCGCAAATGGAGCCTCTCTTAAAAAGCGAGGTGTGTATTTTATTTGGGTGTAAATCAACAAAACTATAAATTAATATGCAGTACTGTATATGGATATTGATTGCATAACTTTATAAATTTCCTTCTTATCAATGAGATTTTTTACTCTCTTATTTGGTTACTAAGTTTTAGCGTTTAAAAGATTGATTGTTTTTATATACAAAGAATTCGCATAAATTGAATTTTTTTTAAACTCTGCTCAGTTATAATCTAATAAACTGGAGAATTTTTATTTGATTGCTGAGCCTTAGGATTTTAAATACTATATTGGTTACCTTTTTTAAAGCATATTAATCATTACTATATGATATTATTAATTACTTTTAGCTGCATCCCAGTATGCTCAAAATTGGACAACTACTTTCAAAAAAAATGCTGACTGCTCGATAGAGGGTTATATCACATTTTCGTTATGTGACGATCCTTCTGAACTGGAAGTCAGTGGCGCATTCACCAAAGGATTTGATGGGAAACCACAATCCTATACTTTTGAGATCTATGATACAAAAGGAAAACTTATTAATACATTTAAACCAAAGTTCGAGTGTTTTCCCGGAGGTAAAACATCTGATTGTAGAACGCGCATTACATATGATAAAATTAATGGTCATTTGTTAAAAGTTTTTCACGATAAGCAATTATTGTGTACCGCAAAGATAGGAGTTTAGTTCATTTGGTTTTTTCTATTTTACAGTTAGTTTTATTGATTTTAAATTTCTAGTTATGGGAATTTTCATATGTATAAATTTAGTTTTTAATGAGTGAAAGCGACAATAAAAATAGTCCTTATATTTTATAACTAATCAGATAAAAATACAATAAATTAATGTCCTAAATTGTGTCGAAAATATTTCTCAAGTAATGTAAACTATCGTAAAAAGAATAAAAGTTCTTAAAGTCGAATGTTTCAATAATTTATCCTGCTCTATCATGACCGCTTTCCCTAGATTTTGTACCATTACAAGGCCTGTCAGGATCTTTTGGAATTCCAAATACATACTGTTACTTTGAACTGTCCAACTTTATCTCCAATTTCTGCAGAGCGTAAATAACATCCAAGCACTTTATGACTATTCACTTTAGTTCCGTTTACGAAATAATAACATTTAGCCAGATAATCATAAGCTGAACTATTTCCAGATTCAGTAGCAGATTTGTGAAAATATGTAAATGCATTATTTTTGTCTTTTACTGTCCCATATCCAAACAAGTATTGAAAACAAAGCTCATATTGCTCACTAATATACCCATTTTCTACGGATTTAAAATACTAATTAAAAGCTTCATTCTCACCTCTTTCTGTCCCGTAACCGCGTTCATAGCACATAGCAAGGTTATTTTGTTCATTGGCATTTTCACGCTCTGCCGACCTTATTAGCAATTTAAATTAATAAAAATAATTATTTTGTAATTGCAAATAATAGTTAAGTAATAAAAAATATTATAAATAATTATAATTATTACTAAAATTTATATAACTTGATAATAATATAGAAAAATTTGTGTAATATTATAGTTATATTTTACATAAAACCAATTGATTTTTTATGACTATTAAAATTTAATAATAATTAATTTTCAATCATTTTAACAAATAATTTTTGGCAAGTTTAAATTGATTTTGAATTTAAATCACTAAACTAATTTAATATCTTTAAATCATTCAAATAATAATATATTTTTTTAATTCAAAATATTTATTTATAAATTATTGCAAATAAACAGTGCTTAGCTCACGAGCACAAATGAACCAGCACAGGATGTGATAAATAGGTATTTATTATCCAATAAAAGAACATATTATCTATTATACCAAGTGTAAAAAACTTGATATGAAAAAGCTCACAAGCAAAATGAGAAACGCTACAAATAAATAATATCAACTATATATTTTTATGAAAATCAAAAATTTATTTTAATACGAAACACATAAAGAAAGCACAATATTGAATCTTCTATCATACTATATTATTGAATTTTATAATGAAGCAAAGGATTTGAAGTATTTTTTCATATCAAATTTTGATTCATATGGAACACTAAATCTAAATCTGTATGCATGTTATTACAGTATTTAAATCAATTGTTTCGGGCCATAACAATGTTCTGTTGATTAGAGTTCTGGAAGTGTTTCATCATAAATTTGCAATTTTTCTTGTAAGA